GAGAGGGGCAGGGCTGTCGCAGACATGAGCCTGAGCAGAGGTCTAGTCTAAATTCCAGCATTTCATTCTTATAGTTTTGAGTGTGTACTATGCATACATAGTTAAAGAAATGAAATGGAAGAGAATATAAAGAAATGAAGTGAAAACGAAAGAGAAAGATAAGGGCATATGTCAAATAAATGGGGTCACGACCTCCTGAAACAAAGGCATGGTTGCCATTTCCTGGAACAGGCCATACAGAACCATTTGTAATTAAGGTGGGGCATTGCCCAATCTTTGAGAAACAGATTTAATCATAAACAGGAATGAACCTTTGTCTTTACTATAAGATGGCTTTTAAGCCTAAAATGGAGGCAGGCTGGTTCTTCACTTTGGTTGAGATTGTAGGTAACATGCCTGCGAGAAGCAGGGACACTTTTTTTTTTATTGTAAAGTCAATATATTTTTATTTAAGAGATTTCACAAGTGATTTCACCAGTGAAGTCACTGAAGTTCAAGGTTTCTTTCTTTCTTTCTTTCTTTCTCTCTCTCTCTCTCTCTCTCTCTCTCTCTCCCCTTCCTTCCTTCCTTCCTTCCTTCCTTCCTTCCTTCTTTCTTTCTTTCTTTCTTTCTTTCTTTCTTTCTTTCTTTCTTTCTTTCTTTCTTTCTTTCTTTCTTTCTTTCTTTCTTTCTTTCTTTCTTCCAGTCTGCCTCCATCTTGGACTTAAAGCCATCTTACAGGAAAGACAAACTAGGTTCATTCCTGTTTAGATTAAACCTCTGTGTTATATCCCCAATTTTAGATCAAAGAACTCTTAGAGGCAATAGTGTTGCAAAAGTGAAAAAAAAAACTTTATTAAGGAATAGGAGAAGGGAGCAGCCTCCATATTGAAACACATAGGCAATATATAGGGAATACAAGGTGTTGGGTTCAACCAAAGGTCAACCAATTTTGTCAGGACAGACAAAATGTTCACAAAAGTCACAAAAGCAGAACTGCACATTTACTAAGGAGTTTAACTAAGGGTTGGCCAGTTAGACCAGGCAGCTACAATCTTAGGATTAGGACCCATTTCTGACAGGGTTTACTACCTCATGCTTTACTATCTCTAAGTTATAACTCCACTGTGACAGGCTTTACATTTCCCTATTTTATAATCCCTTAAGCAAATGTTTATCTCCTGATTTACCTAGGAGCTACATTTTATTTATTTATTTATTTATTTATTTTTTTCGAGACAGGGTTTCTCTGTGTAGCTTTGCGCCTTTCCTGGAACTCACTTGGTAGTCCAGGCTGGCCTCGAACTCACAGAGATCCGCCTGGCTCTGCCTCCCGAGTGCTGGGATTAAAGGCGTGTGCCACCACCGTAATCCTTTAACAAACATGGATGTCAGGCCAGATCCAGGTAAGGAATTTAACTCTTTCACTCTGTTTCTCAAGGATTGGGCTATGCCCCATGGGGAACCTTAGCTACAAATGTAGCTGTACTGCCTGTTCCAGGAAATGGCAACCAAAGCCTTTGTTTCAAAAGGTTATTATGGTCACCTGTTATGTTTACCTTAAGACCACATTGCAATCATGTCTTCTTACAACCTACCCGTGTTTTAAAAGGTTGTTACAACTACCTTGTTTTGACCACCTTGTTATGACTAGGCATTTTGCCTGAATGCTGACAGTGCATGCGCGCCCGTGGAACTCCAGAAGCGGCTAGGAGGATGCTGGGAATATCACTAGGGGAATTTCAGGGACAGTTAGATCATCTCAGACATAATTGGTTAAGCAAGCAGCAGTTATACTAGTATACTTTTAATTGGCTGAGGTTCAGTTTTACTACTCTTGGACATACTTGAGCAAGTTTGGGCAAGTCTGGACGTGACTCAGAAGTGGGGTGGGGGTTGCAGGATTTGTCCCTGAGACATGTGTGGGGCTGACTGAGGCCTTGTGTGTGCTCTTTCCCATGTCCCTGAATGAGGGTGGTGTTGATTAATGCCCTTTGTTGGGAGAGACACCTGTTTTGCCCCATTCAGAGAACTGAAACCTAAATTCCATTGTAAAAGTGGGGAAGTTTAAACCCTTCACTAAAGACAGCCTTTTCTCAAAGAATTGATGTTTAATCCAGTTGTACTATCAGCCCAGAAATCTTTGGCATCCAATTTTTCAAATAATTTGCTTCAGGTATCCATGAGTTCTGATAGTTTCTCCTGAAAGACTACATTTCTCAGCTTCTCTTACGGATCACAAAAGTCATTTCTGCCCCTTTAAGAGACTGAATTACACCTTTCCCCTGTAGGCATTTTGACCATTTCACAAGTGTGGGTAACAAAATGCTCCCTAAGGTAGGGGCAAGCCTCTCTTCCTCCCGTCTGCCTCCCTCTACAAGTGCTCCTAATAATCTGACAAGTTCAGCTCATATTCATTGCAGTCACACCCAGCACACTGTGGATGTGTAGGTAGGAAATGCCAGGCTGCACTGAAAGAAGTGTCCATTCACAGGAAGAAGTATTTTCAACTCTGACCTCCGGTTCAAGACAAGCCTCATCATTGGCATCAGCATCCCTTTGAGCTGTTTTGTGAATCACATTCCTTCTTGTATGCATCAAAACTCACACTGAATGATGAGTTCTGGCTGCCTTTGTCTACCACTTACACACACACACACGCACACACACACACACACACACACACACACACGTGCTACTTTGTGCTTTTGAGACAGGATTTCACTATGTAGCTAGCCCTGGGTGGCCCAGAACTCACTGTATAGACCAAACTAGGTTCAAACTCAGAAATCTGCCTGCCTCTGCCTCCTTAGTGCTGTGATCCAGGGTGTGTAACACCCAGGGAACATTCTTAAAGAAATATTGTCTCTCTCACTCTGGCTATCTGGGCTGTTAAAACAAGACACCCAGGGAATTGGAATTCCCCCCAGGAATTTCATATTGAGAGAAGAAAAAGGCTGAAGCCTGGTACTAGTCAGAAAGGAAGCCTCATCTCTGCCCTCCAAAAGAGATTCCACACAGTTCTGACAGCTCCTCTGGCCACGTTTCAGGAAAGACAGGAACAGACACAGTGATGAGTCAGTGATAGGTGTGACCACATGCTGACCAGGATTGCCTAATTATGCCTTCTGTTGAAATTTTACCCTTCCTGGGCCACAGAGATGGCTCAGTAGGTAAAGGTACTTGCTGGCAAGTTGGATAATTTGAATTTGATTGTTGGTACCCTCATGATGGAAGGAGAGAAATGACTCCAACAAGTTGTATTCTAGCCGGGCGGTGGTGGCACACGCCTTTAATCCCAGCACTCGGGAGGCAGCACCAGGCAGATCTCTGTGAGTTTGAGGCCAGCCTGGTCTACAGAGCGAGTTCTAAGATAGGCTCCAAAGCTACACAAAGAAACCCTGTCTAGAAACAAACAAACAAACAAACAAAAAATGTGCTCTAACCTCAATGCCATGGCATGAGCACTCACTCCCCCGTCCCCACACACAATCGCTCTCATGTCAAGACACTGAGATTAACTTGGGGTCGGGCGGGGAGGGGGAGCTCTGGATCTCTTTCTCCATCTCTCCGATATGGCCACATTGAATAAATCTCCTTTTTCTGCTTTTCACTATTAGTGTGGCTCTTTTAATTATGTTACTGAGGCTGAGCCTGGCTTATTAAGGCAGTCAGAGTCCAGTAACAAGATTACTTCTGTTAGAGTAATAATGAAAGGAAAACTCCTTCTAGTCAAGAGACTACAATCTTTCTTGGGTGGAGATCTAACATTGCTGTTCGATGGGTCAATCACCTGACCAAAGGACCATCCCAGGAAGAAGGGACCACCCCAGGGAGAAGGACCACCCCAGGAGGAAGAGATCACTCCCAGGAAAGCAGAGCAACCCAGTGCAATGTATGCTAAGAAGATGGGTGGAATAATTATTCCTTTAATGAGATTCTGTACTTTCCTTCCCACCCACCTCCTAGCATAGTCTCTACAAGTTGCTTTGAGTCTCAGAAGATTCCTTGTGTCTGTCAACCTTTTAGAGTCAGAAAGGTCTGACTTTTCCTTTTTTCTGTATCTTTCTTTCAGATGCTGACCAGAACCTAAACATCCCTTTTCCGATGTTTTGGGCTTCCTTATTCTTTCCCTAAAGTCCCTTCTGCCATGTCCTGCATGTAGTGGACTTCCATGGTTGCTTAACTCAAATGGCATGGCTTTTTCCTTCTCCATTTCCTTCCTCAGGGCAGCTGCTGAGTTTTACAGCCCTCCTGCCCTGGGTGTTTTTTTCTTTAAACTTTAATAAAAATCTTCCTCTAGTGTCCATTTGAGTCCATTCTTAAATTCTTTGATTAAAGAGACTAAGAGCCCAGGAGGGGATCCGGATTCCTGGGAACACTTGTAATTTGTAACACAAAGCTGAGAGAGCAAAAACTTTGTTATTCCCAAGTGTTTAGTAACATAGTAAATTTTAGTTGACTGAATCTGTTTCAAAGAACTGATGATCAGCTGATCAGCTTACATCTTTCACACACAGACACAGACAGACAGACAGACACACACAGAGAGAGAGAGAGAGAGAGAGAGAGAGAGAGAGAGAGAGAGAGAACCACCATTCATCTGTTTTCTTTGAAATTAAAGAGAAACAAGTTAATAGGCACTCTAATTTAGTCAATATATTTATATTAAATAAATTTAATTGTTCATCTTGTGTTAACCAGTTAGACCAACTATTTAAAGATATTTGCAAAAGCCTATAGCTGTCTTGACACAGCTGTTTTCCCCATAGCTGGAAAGAATACAAGACAATGCAAGGCAGAGGGTCACGTAGAGGCAACAGTCAGAGGTCAAAGGAATATATGGAAGGAGGTCATCACGTAGAGGCAACAGTTAGAGGTTAACCTTGGTCCACAGTAGCTGTCAGCCCCCATCTCCCTAGAATATGTGCAGGCTTACAATTTTTATATTTCTGGGCTCTTCACACACTAATACAAATAAATCTTAAATTAAAAATAGCTTCTTGTGGGACTTGGCGGGTTGTCCCAGACAGCGCGGTGTGGCTTTCCGGCAGGCGGTGGGACTCGGATCGTTCTTCGCGCGCTCTCCAGGAACTCAGCCATCCCCCTGCCTCTGCCTCCCGAGTGCTGGGATTAAAGGCGTCCGCCAGCAACGCCGGCCCTAGCCCCTTTCGTTAAGGCCGGAGGACCAGGCGTGTAAGGCCAGATCCCGCTACCAAGCGAATTGGAGGCCATCCTGGACCGCAGATTGAGACCTTCTCACAAAAATACACCTCCCTCCTAATACTAGGCAACTCTGAACCAGTGTAATGGCAAAAATGGATGTCAGCCTGTGGTCCTCTCATGAGAAGATGTTGACACAGCCCCTCAAGGACAGTGACGCCGAGGTTTACAACATCATTAAAAAAGAGAGCTACCGGCAGAAGGTTGGATTAGAGCTGATTGCCTCAGAGAATTTTGCCAGCAGAGCTGTGTTGGAGGCCCTGGGATCTTGCTTAAATAACAAATACTCCGAGGGGTATCCAGGCCAGAGGTATTATGGTGGGAATGAGTTCATTGATGAGTTGGAGACACTGTGTCAGAAGCGTGCATTGCAGGCCTATCATCTGGATCCTCAGTGCTGGGGAGTCAATGTCCAGCCTTACTCAGGCTCCCCTGCAAACCTCGCTGTGTATACTGCCCTGGTGGAGCCCCATGGGCGCATCATGGGCTTGGACCTGCCAGATGGAGGTCATTTGACTCATGGCTTCATGACAGACAAGAAGAAAATCTCTGCTACATCTATCTTCTTTGAATCTATGCCTTATAAGGTGTACCCAGACACTGGCTACATCAACTATGACCAGCTGGAGGAGAATGCCAGCCTCTTTCACCCGAAGCTGATCATTGCAGGTACCAGCTGCTACTCTCGGAACCTGGACTACGCACGTCTGCGAAAGATCGCTGATGATAACGGGGCGTGTCTCATGGCAGACATGGCACACATTAGTGGGCTGGTAGCGGCTGGGGTGGTACCCTCCCCTTTCGAACACTGCCACGTGGTGACCACCACAACCCACAAAACCCTGAGAGGCTGCCGTGCTGGTATGATATTCTACAGAAAGGGTGTGCGCAGTGTGGATCCCAAGACTGGCAAAGAGATTCATTATGAGCTGGAGTCACTCATCAACTCTGCTGTGTTCCCAGGCCTCCAGGGGGGCCCCCACAACCATGCCATTGCGGGTGTTGTTGTGGCCCTGAAGCAAGCCATGACAACAGAATTCAAAATCTACCAGCTCCAGGTGGTGGCCAACTGCAGGGCTCTGTCCGAGGCCCTCACTGAGCTGGGCTACAAAATAGTCACAGGTGGTTCTGATAATCATCTGATCCTAATGGATCTCCGTCCCATGGGCACCGATGGCGGAAGGGCTGAGAAGGTACTAGAAGCCTGTTCTATTGCCTGCAACAAGAACACCTGTCCAGGTGACAGGAGCGCCTTACGGCCCAGTGGACTGCGACTGGGGACCCCAGCATTGACATCCCGTGGACTTTTGGAAGAAGACTTCCGAAAAGTCGCACGCTTTATCCACAGAGGGATAGAGCTCACTCTGCAGATTCAGAACGACATGGCCGTGAGGGCGACACTCAAGGAGTTCAAGGAGAAGCTGGCAGGGGATGAGAAGTACCAGAGTGCTGTGAGGACTCTCCGGGAAGATGTGGAGAGTTTTGCTTCCAACTTCTCAATACCTGGCCTGCCCGACTACTGACAGCTAGCACAGCCAGCATCTCCCATGAGGGGAGGACTGCTCCAGGACCCCGTGAGCCCTGTCCCCTCTCGAGTGGACAACTGAGCCTGCACTGTGCTGTGGAGGGTTTCTGACCGGCTGTTCTCGTTTCAGATTCTGGGACAGGCTACTAAGGACTATAAATTTGAAACTTCACTTCTCAGCAGCTTTATATAATGAATTATTTGGGGAAAAAAAGTACTATGTAGCCATTTGATCTCACTTATTGACTGCAGCATGAGGCAGAGCTATTAAAGATCCCAGAATTCTCCTTTCTCTTTTCTCAGTGGGCCCTGTGGCAGGTAAGGAAATGTCCAGGTTCACTCTTGTGTTTTCTATTATTCCTGTTCTGTTGCCCAGTAGGATGCCAGAGGAGCACTAAGTTTTCTGCTCTGAGTTTGATATATAAACTAGACAGATGTATAAGCAAGAATTAATGTCAGGTGCTGGAAAGATGGCTCAGCTCTGGCTGCTCTTCTAGAGGACCCTGTTTGACCCCCAGCACCCACATGATGGATCACAATCATCTGTAACTCCAGTTCCAGAGGATCTAATACTTTCTTCTGGCTTCTGAGGGCACTAGGCAAACATGAGGAGCAGACATGTGTACAGGTCAAATAGCAAGTCACATAACATTTAGTTTTAAAGAAAAATAACCTGCCAGGCGGTGGTGGTGCACGCCTTTAATCCCAGCACTTGGGAGGCAGAGGCAGGAGGATCTCTGTGAGTTTGAGGCCAGCCTGGTCAACAAAGCAAGATCCAGGAAAGGCACAAAACTACACAGAGAAACCCTGTCTCAAAAGAAAAGAAAAAAAGGAAAAATGACTGTCAGTCAGCAGCTTGAGGTATGTTACAGAAGGCTAGAGGTGTCACTTAAGAGGTATTGCACATGTTCAGTGTGTATGATGTCCTGGGCTCATGCCTACCACACAAACAGCCTTGTAGAACTGGCTATTTCTATGATGTGCAAATCCCATTCTGGTTTCAGAATCAGCAGAGGCCAAAGGCTTTCTTTGTGTTCCACCTTCCTGAGATAACCAGCTTCTTATAATTAGGAGCCCAAATGCTACCTTCCCAAAGAGTCTTTATTTTTACATAGCTGAATTGCAAACCATTGGTGACTTCTTAATACACACAATCCAATTTTTACCCACAGAATGTCTACAAGAATTATAGCTTTAAAAAATACAACCAGTTTTTATATTTTAAAAATATTTGAACTCATATAAATTAATATCTTAAAAAGTAAAAAAAAAATAGCTTCTTGTATAATCCCATTAAGATTTCTGGGAAGACCGTGCGATCGTTACTTGAGCAGAAACTTTCTCCTAATTAATCCTCAGGAGACGGAGTTTGCTCTGCGGCCCTCCTGTCACCACTGTCCTCAGTATCTACTCTGGTCCTTGTTTTCCCTTATACACGTATCTGTTAAACTCATTGAGACTTTGTATCCACATTTCATCACTAGCTAATCTATACTTATTTTTGACGTAGTACACTACTTGGTCTAAACAAACATGAGAATGAGTTAATTTTTACAGAATTAAGTACAAGTTTCAGTAGCTTCTCAAGTGTATTAACAGTCAGTATAAGAATTTGAATTGATTCAGGGGCTGGAGACGTGGCTCAGTGGTTAAGAGCACTGGCTGCTCTTGCAGAGGACCCGGGTTCAATTCCCAGCACCCACATACATGGTGGCTCACAACCACCTGTAACTCCAGTCCCAGGAGATCTGATGTCCTCTTCTGACCTCCACGGGCATCAGGCACGCCGTGGTACACTGACATACTTGCAGGTAAAACACCCAGACACATAAAGATAAATAAGCTAAAGAAAAGAATATGAGTTTTTTATATTTGTTTTTCACGTGAGGTTAGGGAACTAACAGGCAATGAGAACCACTGGAAAGCAGAAGAATCTGTGCTCTTGGGACTTTTATGTAGCAGCAGGCAATATTTAGCTCCATTGGAATTGAAACGAACCTCTGGGACCTAGAAGAACTCCATAAAAGAATCACTTGCATGGTGAGCTCAAGCTGTGTCTGAAACTGGTTCACATTGGATAAAACTGTGATCTTTCCAGCTGTGCATTGTGCTAGGAGACTCCACTGCACAAGCAGATTTTGATTCCATTTTGAGGGGAGAAGGATGATTACAGCCCCTGGGTGGACCCAGAGACTCCTCCATCTGTCGTGTACCACCCACTCAGTACAGACTGGTGACTGACTTATTCCTGAGACTAGGAAGGGAGCTACCCTGTAAGTTTGTTGGAGAGAATTGGGAGTGTGAGGACACGTGGCTATATTACAATCATATCAGAAAACTAGGCCTGAGAACTTATCAGACACACCAGAACAAGGAAAGAGTTTCACATTCTCACCTGGACCCCATAAAATGATAGACACCTAATAATGGGATAGCATGGCCACACACCAACCTATGACCTGATACCTGCTGTGCAAGTCAGGGGCAGGAACTCCCTAGTTGTCCCTAGAGTTTCCTATTGGTTTGATTCTCTGCCTTTGATGAGGCCTGCTTAACTCCCTGCTGTTTGCCCTCCTGGACCTGGACCTGACCCACTGTTCCTGGCTCCTGACTCATTTCCTAATGTGAACAGGTTTGGATGTTGGCCTTAAGCTGAACTCTGCAGCTTCTCCCTCAGACCTGACTCAGCAGCTCCAGCAGCCCCTCCCAGCACTGGTCTAGTTCATTATCTTATCAATACACACTCTCTGCCACTTCTGAAATCCCTTGAACTCTCATCTTCTTAAGGTTGTATTCATTCTATAACCCACAGATATGCTTATAGATATGCAGACACATTTATTGTGTGCTATGGGCTTATGATACGAGAGTTAATATTGGTAATTAATATTGGAATTTTAAAAAGGATGAACAACGGCTGGTTGATATTCATTGGCGGCCTGCATTTTTCTGAAGAGAAACAAAAGAGGGGGAGTGGATGGGGGAGGGGAAGAGGGGCAGCAGGGGGGAGGGACTGGGAGGACGTGAGGAAGGGGAAACTGGTCGGGATATAAAACAAAAAATTAATAACAATAAAAAGGATGAATAAAAAACTATAACTAATATATGGTATTATGTAAAATAACATAATATAGATAAATAATGTATCTAAAACAATATATTAAAATATACACATGTATGACATATTCATATAATGCATATGTATATAATATATATGTATACATACATATTCTTTTGAGACAGGGTCTTACCACACAGCCCTGGTTACCTTGGAACTCCCTATGTAGCCTAGGCTGCCCTTGAACTCACATAGGTCCACTTGCCTCTGTCTCCAAGTGCTGGGAGGTGCCTCTGCCTCACTCCACTATTGCCTTCCGTCTCTACTCTTCTGCCATTGAACATAGAAATGTAACAAATACTCTAACATGGAAACAAATGAAGAGTTTTGGAAATTTTAGCCCTTGATCCCTTCATGAAAATCAGGGAGGTGCTGCCAGTGAACTCCTGGTACAGATGTGCAGTGTCTAACTGGAGACACCAGGTTCCTTAGGCTCTATATTTAACTATAATGTGGATATAAGGTCTATTATGAGGTACTGGAGGTATGGCTCAGTGGTTCGGAGCACTGGCTGCTCTTCCAGAGGACCTAGGTTCAATTTCCAGCAACCACATGGCAGCTCACAACTGTCTGTAACTCTAGTTCTAGGAGACCTGACACTCTCACACAGATATATATGTGCAGGCAAAACACCAATGCACATAAAGTAAAAATAAATAAATATTTTTTTTTTAAAAAAAGATCTATCCTGAATGCACTGCCTGCCTATAAAAAGGAATATTCACTAGTGTGGAAGCATCAGTTGCCAACAGCAATTAGTAAGACAGTAGAAAGGAGACATCTTGTCTTCAGAATAATGACAAGTGTTTACTTTTAAAACGACGTGCTTATCTACATGTATATCAGCTTTCCTGATTTTTCAAATAGAAATCTTTGCAAAAAGAATCTGGGATTAAATGTATACTTTGTCTCCAAAATTAGCAATATTACAACAACCAATATATAGACTTTTAAAATATGTACTTGTTTATATATCATAACTAATCTATTTAAGTACATATAAGTAAGTTAATAAAATTTACTGTTACTTGTTTTGAGCTATCATCCATATGAAATAAATTAAAAATATCTTTTAAGTTTAACATATATACATATCTATCTATATATATTCATGTGCATGTGTGTTTGTCTGGATGTGGATGTGCACATGTGGGTGCTGTTACCAAGACAGGCCAGGAAAGGGCATCAGTTCCTATGGAGCTAGAGTGACAGATCACTGTGAGCCACCTGATGTGGGTGCTGGGAACCTAACTTTGATCATACTGCTTCATAAAAGCAGTATTTCTTTCTATTTTAAATTTAAGGAAAGCACACACTTTTTCTAAAATAGTCCAAAGCAGAGGATGTTTAAACAAACAAACAAACAAACAAATAAATACAAGAATGGAAGTCTGTGCTCCTTTAAATGTGCTCATTGGTGCTTGGGATGAAGCTCAGTGCTGTCCAGCATGCAAAATATTTTGGATTCAATATTCAGCATCACAAGATGTCTCTCATTAGTAACTTTTACATAGTTTCATCTTGTAACATTGAATCACAGGCACGTTGTGTGATTTTCATTGCCTTTAATTTTGGAAGAGCTAGGATTTACTTTGAGATTCAGTCCCTCAATGAAGTGCAGTTGATTAGGGACCAGGAGGCCAGTCTTTGTCACAATGTGAGGTCTTATGAACAGATAGAAAGTTGAGCCAACCCCAAGTGTGGTGGTACACATCAACAATGCCAGCCCTGCCAAGGCCAACCTGAGCTACAGAGTGAGCTACTGTCTCACAAAACCAAAATAAGACACACACACACACACACACACACACACACACAGAGAGAGAGAGAGAGAGAGAGAGAGAGAGAGAGAGAGAACTATAGAATAGAGAATGCAATCAGTGATAACATTGTTAACATGAAGTTCATGTGCTCATGTTATTCTTAGATCTATTATCCATATTTGATTGAGCTGACAGATGACATGTTGACTTCTTATTAATGCACATCAATATTTTTTCATAGAGGTGACAAATACAAAACAAAAAGTTTTGGGGGAAAATCTGTCAAAATATGAGTCTCTTCATCAGCAGTTCTGGCAAGCAGAAATTGCCACTGGTGAGGTTTAGTCTCACAGAATGTGGGCGTGAACCCCTTAGGCAAATGAATACAATGCTCAGCTCCTGAGGGTCTAGAATGTGATTCTTGTGCCTTTTTTGTACCTCTCAATCACTCGCCTCATGGCACTCTGCACTTCCTTGTTCCGCAGACTGTAGATGAATGGGTTCAGTGCTGGACCGATGACCGCATAGAACACAGAGATCAGCTTGTCTCCCTCGGCGGAGTAGAGGGACTTGGGCCTCAAGTACCTGATCAGCCCTGTTCCATAATAGATGGTCACCACAGCCAAGTGTGAAGCACACGTTGAAAAGGCCTTTTTTCTGCCTTCAACTGAGTCTATTCTTATCACAGCCACCAAGATGCGAAGGTAGGAGAGGACAATCAGGAGGAAAGGGAATAGCACTGTGCCAGCCCCTCCGATGGCCATGATGGCCTCCTGCAGAGATGTGTCTGCACAGAACATGTGTAGAAGGATGGGCAGTTCACAGAAAAGATAGTCAACAATGTAAGGACCACAGAGTGGAAGGATTACCACGTAGAGAGGTATAACTGAGGCACAAAAGCCTGTGACCCAGACTGCCACTGCCAGAGCTATACACACCACCCAGCTCATGATGAGAAGGTACCTCAGTGGATAGCAGATGGCCACGTAGCGATCTATGGCCATCACTGCAAGGAGAA